CAAACTGACTGTTCTTTTCTACTCCCATGTGTGCTGTCTTATTTCGGTCCTTCTTGATCTCACATCTCAGTTCCTGCCATAGAATTTATGAGTGGAAGAAAGGGAGCAAGACAATGCTGGCCTTGGAGTCCCCTGCCTTTCACTGAGTGACCTTGGGCATGCTCCTATCTCCCCCCTTTGGAAATGGGGAAGCTGGTGGCCACTCCTCAGGCTGTGTGAGGATTAACTGAGAGCAAGTTAGTAGGGGGTGGCTGTCACCATTCCCCATCCATTTCTTTGACCCCCCCAGGTCTCCCTTGTCCACTCTATCTTCCCCTATGGCTGCCAGCATCACTGCTTCAAAACACTAATTTTGTTACATCACTTTTCTGCTCCAAAAACCTTTCTGAGTCCAGCAACTTCGCTTGTAGGAGTAATCACAGGGTTTATAAAGATTTAGCTGTGAGTGTCCATAATGGGGAAAGGTTATAAATACCTTAGTAGCTTAAAAGCAGGAACAAAGTTACGGTGCATTCAGATTGTGGAATTCCAAGATGCTGCAGGACTGGTTCTGAGCATCCAGTAACTGGTTAAGAGGAAAGGCTCTAGACAACACCATCAAAGGAACTTTCTGCAGTGATGGCAACGATCTATACCTGCACTGTCTCACACAGCAGCCACTAGACACACATGGCTGTGAAGCACCTGAAATGTGGCTAGTTCAATGGAGGAACTGATTTTTAAAGTTTATTTACTACCAATTAATTTAAATGTAAACAGCCACATGTGGTGTTCGGCTGTATTACTGTTACTGCTGTTGTTATTATTACTCTGTTACTGCATACTCACAATATATTATTACGTGAAAAAGACATAAAACAGAATATATAGCATGCTCTCATTTTTAAAAAGTGTATCATATATGAAGCAAAACCTCTATAAGGACATTTACCAAAATGTGAAGAATAGCTGTGATCATAAATTGTTTTCTTCTGACATATTTTTTTACAAAGAGGACACACTACTTGTTATAGAAAGACAGTTAAACTTTCGATCCATCCAAACCCCTCTAATTATCTTCTCTCTCCCTTCTTACCCTCTCTGAGCCAAGGAGACTGGCCAGTCCACTCGTCCTCAGGGCCCTTCCCCTCCTGCCCATCCGAGCAATCTACCTTGTCCAACTGGAATGCCCTCCCTCTTCTTCCCCTTTTCAAATCTCTCTTGTGCCTCCATTCTCCTTCCTTTAGACTGCTGCAAATCAAAGTGACTCTCCCACCTCCATGTTCATGTAGCAGGAATTGGTCCTCACTACATAGCCTTTCTAGGCCATGTCTACCTAAATAGGCCAGATCTCTTTTCAAGAGGGGCCGCTGTCCTAGTATAACCCCATATCCTCTCTCTCTCTCCACACTAGTGTGCTGCCTTGGACACCAATCTTTTTATCATAGAAATTTTAAAACATAAAAATATTGTCACCTGAATTCTTTAGGCAGCTGAAATTTTTCCCCTTTGTGAATCTGACTCTGGACTTTCCTAGTGTGACAGTGACAAAACACAAGGAAAGTGCTTAGCACAATGCCTAGTGTCTGCTATGGTGCCCAGGATGTGTTGAATAATATTACGATTGTTTTCTTGAAATGCAAGTTGAGATTTGCACAGGGCTGTCCCCATTTTCCCTGTCAGTAACTCCTCCTCATGCTTCGGGTCATTTTCAGGGGCCATTTTGTTCCCTCGTTTATGTAACAAATATTTACAGAGCGCAGATTCATTTCCAGGCTCACCTTCCATTGCCCTAGGTTCTGAGGATACAAAGACACATACCCCTATCTGCCTTCAGGAAGCTTACATTCTGGGGGACAGATCAAAGGAGAATAAAGAAAAGTATGGAGACACAATAATTAGAGACTGTGCAACAGAGGAAACCGCAGAAGACCTCCCCTAAGGTCAAGTTTCTGTGCTTCGCATCTCAGAGGTACATTATTTCTTTATGACACTGGACAGTTTATGGTATTTGAGTGATTCTGTGATTAAAAAACATTCTCCCTAACTGGCCCAATTGTAGGGATAGAGGTGACACGGTACCCAACACAAACTAGGGTGCAATAAATATCCCTTAAATCAATTGACTGATTCCCCTTTAACTAGATCTGGGGCAAGTGGGAGGTTTGGTCCCTCATCTTTTTTTTTTTTTACGATAAGAATGGCTTTCCAAACGGTTTCTGCAGAAGCATGGACTAAGGGGTTCAGAGATCTATTTGAGGACAAAAGCAGGAAACAAAACAAAACCCTGCTATCAGGGCGTGGTCCTCAACTTGGCCCAGCGGGGGAAAAGCCGGGCCCTTTCTTCTGG